TGTTGCCAGCCAGCACTGCTTGTCCTGCTGCTGCAGGGGAGAGTGAGCTCCATATGTTACTGTAATTCATCCTCTTCTGCATCTGCAAGCCTTGCATCAAAGATGGCGCAGTCCTACATGAGTGGTGCAAACTTGTGCAAAGATGACCTTATTGACTTTTGAAGACACAGGAAATGCACGAGCCATTTAGCTGTCAGAGTCTTGGAGAATTCTGGTGTCCTTAGCATAAGCCTGCATTCAACTGTCAGAGCAAGCTGTGGGAGCTTGCATATGAGAGAGTTAGAGTTTTCAGCACTTGTGACCGTCAAAAACAGAAGTCAAAATGGAATGGCAATTAAAGATGGCATGCATGTAACCATCTCAAATCACATCATGGCATCAACTTCTTATTCAGGCCAAACAAAGGCTTCTTGCTAAAATTTAGTTTGGAAAGAGTTAAAGTTTATGTTTTGCTTTATTTGCACATTAATTTTCACTGGGAAATAAACATCTCTTACAAAGATTATTTTTATAGTCTGTGATTGAAATTACCAACGTAGTGAGGTAAATTGTATGCAAAAGGTTTTGGGTTTGGGGGAGTGGTGGTGAACTTTTCTGAAAGAGGGTGCATTAACTTCTGATCTTCACAAGTACCTGATGGCTCATAAAGCCTGCAGATCACTGGTCTGAGCTGAGATGTGGAGGATGAAGATAAGGTAGTTGAAATAAAGTAGCATGAAGAGGAAAAGCACAGAGGCCTACAAGCAGGGGATGTGCTGCATTAGAGAACCTGGTACTCTGTGTTCCTGGAGCACAGTGTGTTGGGGGGAGTAGGAGAGGAGAGAGTAGAAGGTAAAAAGGGCCAAATCGTTATGGACCTTGCAAACCATGTCTGCCAGTAAGGATTATATTCAGCTACATATAGTAGAGAAAAATAACAAATCTAGAGAGAGGCAGTCCAGAGTTATTATGGCAGCTTGGTGTCATCAAGAATCTGGCCTTCTCTATCTTGCTGCTCTATTGTCCTAAGGTTCTTATCTCCTTATGGTCCCAGATGGCCACCCAAATGAACTCCAGTCATCATGTTTATATTCCAAGCAGCAGGAAGGAGGAAGACAGGCATGCCTCCTGCCCTTTCACAGAGACTTCCTGGAAATCTTTCAATTCATTTCCAGTTAATCACATTGAGCAGAACTTGGGCACAAATAGCTGCCAGGGCAGCTGGAAAATGTAGCCTTTTAATCTGGGTGATGGTGTGCCCAGCTGAAAGTCAGGGTTCTAAAGTAGAAGGTGAAAAATGATATTGGGGTAGGCAGCTAATAATCTTTGCCATGACATATCAGCATTTTATTTTTGTGAATAACATGATAAGATCACCACCTGAGCAGGTGGATTGAAAGGGGGCGGTAAGGAGACCATAGAGACCACTGCAGTAACACATGTCAGAGGTGAACAGGGTACTGACCGAGGCAGCAGAGACAGTTTCCTGAGACTGACAGGATTTAGGGCTTGCCATTGATTGGATATGAGCAGGCTCCTGGCTTAGCAGCTAGGTGTGTCTTCGTGCCATAAAGACAGGAGTGATTGAAGCAACAGTCTGGGAAGAGGAGGTCTACTCAGAATGAGCTTTACAAGGAGCAGACAAAAAGAGGAGGAAAATAGAGTGTGGTATTTCAGAACTGAAGGGAAATAAAGCATATCAAGATTTAGGGAGTGGTCAGTTGTGTTGAATGCACCTGAAAACACAGGTAAGGAAGTATTGATGTTATTGATAGTATTTCAGAATTAGGAGGTTGTTGATGACTTTGTTAAGAGAAGTTCATCAAATGAGGGAGGAGAAAACCAGATTGCAATGGGTGAGGGAGTGAACGGGAGGTGAGGAGGTAGAGGTGAGTGTAGCAACTCTTTCAAGAAGTTTCCCCTTTAAGAAGATGGAAAAAAGGGGATGTGTTGTTGCTTTTTTGTTTTTTAGATGGCAAATGCTAGACTATGTTCATGCCAATGGAAAAGAATAGAGAGGGATAGGCTGAAGATAAGAGGAAAGACTGAATGATGAAATGGTGTCCTTGAGATGGGCAGTGGTAGAAGGATTACCTTAGGATGGTGACAGCTTTACCTATAACCAGAAGGATCAGGAGGAGACAAGGATGGAGGTACAGGGAGGGTCTGAGGATCTGGTGGCACAAAATCAAGGGCATTCCCATATGTGATGATGGCTTTTATTCACTCTGTGCAGGAGGAGTTGAGCTCATCTTGGTGGCTGAGGGAGTGTTGATGAACTTATTGGTGGACCATATGATAATGTTGCATGTACATGATTTCCCAGCTCTTCCTTAGTGAAAAATCTCTGGTCTAGGTATGGTTTTTCTGTTATTAAATTAATCTGTAGGATCTTTCAGATGACCCAGATTTTGGTTATTAACTTTAGAAATGTGAAATGAAGAAACAATATGTGAAAGTCGCAGCACAGAATTTGGCACACACACACTGCATAGTAAGAGTTTAATGAATAAGCCAATGTTCTTGGAACACTTTCTGTACATATGGAGCATGATTTCTAATTTGTTTTACTGTTTACACAGCTCATTTTCTTTTAGGCAAACTTGCTTTTGTTGAGAAAGAATTCTTTTCGATTGCAGTAACCACACTCTTGTGAACCATAACAGGGCAGGTACTGTTAGCTTGCTTTGGATATTTGGCATTGCCTCCAGGAATAGCATAAATATGCTACCAAGAACTGGGTTATGCTATTACTGATGGGAACAGTGTGTCCATGACTGTGTGATGAATTTGGCTTTTCTTCTAACTGGAAACACTGTTAGCTTGCTTTGGATATTTGGCATTGCCTCCAGGAATAGCATAAATATGCTACCAAGAACTGGGAACAGTGTGTCCATGACTGTGTGATGAATTTGGCTTTTCTTCTAACTGGAAACTAAGTTGTGAACAGACTTGGCAAGATACAGATCGTGGTAGACAGTTTTTAAAAGATCTTTGAAAAAATTTTTTGGTTTGTGCAGAAAAATTAGATTGACATCCTAGAGGGGAGAATGTTGTTTAAATCAGATGGTTTAGTAGATTGCCAAGTGCTTCCTCATTTGTTCATTCCCCAGAGGAAGTTAGGTATTTTACCAGTTCTTTTCTACCAGTGAGAAGAGAATGTGAGTGGCCCGGGCTCCCCTGGACATTTTGCCAGCAGCATCATGGGGATTGCCCCACCTCACCTGTGGAGGTTGCTCTGCTGCATATTTAATTGCAGTTGGAGGTCTTCTTAGAACACTGAATTCTGTTCATGTCTGGGGGAAAAGAGAAACAGGGTGAGTAGGACTGAAAGCACAAAGATCGCACTAGAGACTGAATTAAGTGATTCAGTCAGAGTAGCCTTGAGGCTGTATCTGGCAGTGCATGACACTTCCTGTTGTCTCTGAACACCATCCATCTTTGCCTGAGTAAATGTCTTTGTGCATTCTCCTGGGGGAGCTGAGAAGGGAAAGTGGAGGGCAGGTCTAAAAATTTCTCTAACTAGGTGTGTCCAGTGTAACTTTAGCTGTTGCTAAGCAACTTTCTAACACAGATCTCCTTGGCTTGTTGAACAAAACAAAGCTATGTGGGACTGCTTTGTGAGGTCCCCTGGTGGAGGGTGTAGACAGCATCACCAACAGAGAGTGTTGACATAGAGGGTGACTTACGGTGATAGAAAGCCGTGCTTATCACCTAATTTAACCTGTAATAAGCTTTCGACAAAAAGTGTCCTGGCTTCCTGGAATTAAACGATTGGTATCTTTCTTTGCGCTTGCATGAGAGTCTGTCAGGGGGTGTGAGAGGGTGGAAGCGGGTATAAGTCATGAAACATAAGTTAAAGACCTTTGGAGGTTTCCAACAGCAACATTAACCTGACTGCTCTGGACATCTCTCCCCTCTTTATACTTGTTACTTGCTTCTTCCTTTTCCTTCCATAGTTCTGAGTCCTTTTCTTGTTAACAAATTCCTTAGCAGGACCTATATTTAATTAGCTGCTTTAAGGGTTAAATATAGCCAGACAAGTAGGTATTGTTGAAAACACAGCATAAAGAACCGTGGTTCCTTGGCATTTGTAGTGGTGGGTTGACTCTCAGCTCTCTTAGGAAGCAAGGTTCTAAATATAGCACTCCGCAGAGAAATCTGGGCACTTACCTAAATGGTAAATAAGTCTTTCTACTGTGAATTGCCAGGGCCTGGGCCCAAGAGTCTTTATTAACTCAGTTTTGGAATTTTAATGCTATGTGTGGATTAGTTCTTTTTATTTCACACGAAATATTTGAAAGGTATTCAGAATTACATTTTAAGTTCAAACTCAGATTCATAAGGTGGCAACCTTGGGAAGATTTGACTTAGAACGAGAAGTATATTGAATATACGTTTTGGCTGAAGGCCAACTGGCCTACTGTTAAAGTCAATATGAAGCTGGCCTTATAAATCAACATCACCAAATAAGTTTTGGGGATATAAGAACAAATTGCAGTCATTATAGTTTTATTTAGAAATTTAGTTATCAAACTTTAAAATGTTGATATTACAGTGCAAGAACAATAATTCTTCAGCATGGTCATGGTCATCTGATAGATTACTTTTGTGGATACTACGATAGACATCTGCAACAGTAAATAGACTTACTTTAGTCAACTGAGGTTGATGGAGGAGCAAGATATTTTCCAACTGTTTTTGCTAGTATTGGATGTGCCGATTGTGATGTAGCTTCCATGATGTCAAGTTTTCCTTCCTCTCTAAAAGTAACTGACTGAAATGAAGCTCAGTCCTCTTAGTATCCTGAACTTGTAAGTTTCATTAATGGAGATGTGCCATTTCCTTGAAGTTATCTCACAAACTGAAGTTCCGTGCTTGTTTGCAGATGATTTCTGAATATCTTCTCATGTATGTCGCTTTATCTTGTGTGTGTTTAAAAAGTTTCTTTATGCACTTGTTGCTTCATACAATCACTTGAGAGCTTAGATTTTGAATCTAGGAAGTTTGGCGATGGAGTAATGGCTTTCAACACAGCGAAAGTATGTCTCTGAATTTCCATCTGTATTCAGCTTGTACACCAATTTCAGCATCTTCCCTAGAGCAGAGTGAGTGGAACATCTTCACACCTGTATCTTGTAAGAAGTCTTTGCATACTTGACACATGGGTGGTTTACTTCTTATCAGGTTCTGGCAAATGAACAAAGCCTAACACTGTTAGTAAGTCCTGCTATTTTGGTTTTGTTACTTTCAAAACATAATTTTTGAACTATCTTTTTGTTCAAGTAGCCTGTATAAAACATAATATTGGGCCGGCCCCATGGCTCACTCGGGAGAGTGTGGCACTGGTGGCCCCAAGACTGCGGGTTCGGATCCTATATAGGGATGGCCAGTGCACACACTGGCTGAGCGTGGTGCTGACCACACTGTGCCGAGGGTTGTGATCCCCTTACTGGTCAAAAAAACCAAAAAGAAACAAAAAAAAAATGTAATAGTTTCCATTCCGTTTTGTGTGAATATCTTGTATAAGTAAATGTTCTCTGGTAGCTTGTCTTTAAAGCAGAATGAGAGTGGCCCACCATCTGTCAGCTCACAGCCAGTAGCTGAAAAGTGTGAATGAAACATTGAACGTTGGTGATTCTTAAATCATTCTCTCATCCTATTTGTCACTGACAGTTGCATAATACTTTTTTATTTATTGTGTCATTCTATGAATATTTCCTCAACCATGTTTTTTTTTCATTGTTGATTAATCAATATATTGTGCTTTCAGACTTAAAAAGGGCTCTGATTGTGTCTTCATGACTAAGCACAGAAAGAAGAAGCACTTTAATTTTAGTAACTAAAATTTAGAATAAAGCTTTCTAGAAAGTGTTTCTGTAAGGAACATTATACTTGGAACTCAGAACATGTTTTTTTTTCATTGTTGATTAATCAATATATTGTGCTTTCAGACTTAAAAAGGGCTCTGTGTCTTCATGACTAAGCACAGGAAGAAGAAGCACTTTAATTTTAGTAACTAAAATTTAGAATAAAGCTTTCTAGAAAGTGTTTCTGTAAGGAACATTATACTTGGAACTCAGAACTTGGGCAAATATTAAAAATCCCATGGTTTCAAGTACTTAAAAATGTTGATGGTCTATAGAAATTGTTTTTACATGCTTTTCATTTATTTGTTTAGACTCCATAGACTCAATTATAAGAAATTGCCTTCTTAATGCATTCTAATAAATGCATGTTTTGAAGTTTGATTACTGAGAACAAAATGTATTTAGATAACTCTTCATCTCTAAATACTTTTCTTCATGAACTTTATATTCTTTATGGTTATAGATCAAGGATAGTTTATCATGAATATACATGATTTTGGAGTTCTTTTCTGGTGAAATTTTAAAGGAGCAAGGTTGACAGTTGGTTTTTATTTCATCTTCACTGGAGGTGAAAAATTCCTTTTGGTACTTTTTCTTGAAGACTCACGACCTAAACAGAACTGAATATCTAAAAATTAAACATGATTCATGCTATGAATCTAAAAAAAAAATTTTTTTTTCCTTTTTGTCTTTTTATTTCGTGTCCGGCAACGGATCGCAACCCTCAGTGTCGCGCCCGTACTGGCCGGGACCGGCAACGGGATCGCAACCCTCGGCGCTGTGCCCGCACCTCGCTCAGCCAGTGAGCGGGAACCGGTCTGTATGTGG